AAATCAGCAGGGAATCAAAATGTGTCACTACCAAAAACTCAACTAAAGACAAAATGCAATAATGGAGGAAATGATGGACAAAAAGTTATAAGGTATAGAGAAAACAATTAAAAAAATAGTGAGTCCCTCCTTATTAGTAAAGTTTACATGTAATTGGATTAAATCTCCAATCAAAAGGCAGAGATTAGCAGAATGGTTAAAAAGAGGGGATTCAACTATAAACTTAAAGATTCTCTTTATATCGAAAGACAGATTGACGGTGAAAGGATGGAAAATGTTATTCCATTCAAATAGTAATTAAATGCTTCACTTTCAAATCCTTTAAGTATGCTGCCCCAAACTCTAGTATTTGGACTGTTGTGATTACCACTGACGTAATCCATACCACTGTTCGTACATCTAATATTGCATATTATTCAGTCATCATTCCATTTTCAGCTATAGAGCAAAATACAATTCTTACCATGGACTTTTTTGTATTCTTATAGTATGGGTTCCATCCTATGCTCACCACCATCTTATGGACTTCTCCACTTCCAACACTGGCCCAACCATAATAAATGCCAGTGGATACATCAGCTGGAAGATTATCTACTACTTGTTCAGGAAAGTTAGCTAAAAAAAAGGAGTAAATGTTCTGAGTGTCAAGAGTGCCATATTATTTATAAAAATCACATGCAAATCTAGTTTAAATAATTAGGCTCACAGGATTGTAGGACTTCGCCATGATTAACATTCCACATTCTGGATCGAATTTCCTTTTCCTCTTCAGGTGGACAGGTTAGGAACAAGGTACCAGATTAAGTAAGTGTATAAATCGCCTCCCCCCCCAAATACTCTCGAATTTGAAAATAAGTACATAAATAGAGGGATTTTTTTTCAGACTTGGTCTTAAGGAAGTTCAGTTTCTTTAAAAGTTTCCCATTTTTCAAGATACACATGCCTAGACTCCAAGCTCAAAGACTGCTTTAAAAGGTCTAGGGGCCAGCCCTGGTGAATTAAACCTACCATCAGGTCCAGACTACTAAAACTAATGTAGACAGACAAAACATGGTTCTCATTTGACTGCCTGTTTGATCTTTTGGTCACACTCTAGTAACACATTTAAGGAAAACGCTACAGTTGGCTTGAGAATTTAGCCAATCTGGCCCACAGTACGTTTTCTCATGGGCAAGACTTGAGCTATGCTTGGCAGCTCTATCACCGCTGGATATGGAGGCAGGAAAGAGCACTGGAGGAGCTGGGGGGCTGTGCTCTCGAAGTACAGTTCCGCCTTCCTGCCCTCATCACCTCTTAAACCACGTACGCGAGAGCTCGAAGCCACAGGCCAGGACCTGCTCCCTCAGGAGGACAAAAGGTCCTCCGCCTTAATAGATCAGGGGCTGGCGTAACCTCGGTCCGCCGGCCACGACCCTGCCCTTCCCCGCTGACGTCCCCTCCCACGTGACCGTTCTCCGGGCCCCCCCGGCGCTCACCCGTAGGGATGCCCAGCTGCTTGGAGCCGCGGCCAAAGCCCCGCACCACTTGTCCGCGGCAGAAGTAAGGCAGGAGCCTCATGACGCCGTCCACTCGGGGTGCTGGCTGTGGCCCGGTCCGCAGGTCCGGCGGAGCCGCCGTCAAGGCGGTGCCCGGATCCCCCGGACCAGCCGGGGGACACGGGCGGGAGCACGGCCGGCGGGCCGGGCGGACGTACAACGGGCCAGGAGGCGCCGGTGACGCCCCGCGGCAAGTCCCTCGTGCAGCTGATCCAACAGATGTTGCCGGGCGACTGACAGGCGACCTCTTGGCCTCGGGAACGGAGGCGGAAATAAACGAGGGTGTGGGCGGGCCGGCGCGAGGGCGCTCCCAGCTCCTCCAGCGCCACAGGCCCGCGCACGCTTTCTGGGCCGAGCCACCCGGCGCTCGTTCGGCTTCTGTAGCCCCGCCCCCGATGTGGCCCCGCCTCCTGTGGTGGGCTCTGTCCCCAGCCGTTTGCCACTCCTGGGCTTCTTCCCGCCCCACGCATTTGGAACTGCAGCGAAAATCGGTTCTCAGCCCTGAAGGCGGGCGGGGTGGGGTGTGTTGGGATCTGTGAAAGCACTAAGTATTGCTTTTCCCTTCTTTTCTTTACGATCCTGACGCCAAATAGAGACGCTCTTTAGCTCCTTAATCACCTCTAGGTTTGCTTGTCGTTCGCCACTTACTCTGTTCTTAAAGTTCCAAAATTCCAGCTCAGAGATCAGTTCTTCATAGAGGCTTTTCCTGACTACTTGCTAGAAGTGGCGCTCCCCTTGACCATGATCTGAAGTTATATCAGAATGTGAGCTCCATGGGAGCTGGCTTTTGTCTGCCACGATGCAACCGTGGCGACCAGTAGGAGGTACAATGATGCAATTTCCTTGAAGAGGAATGCAGCTGCCTACCTACGTTGCCGCCCTCTGTAAGATGTGTCCTTGAGAATTTAAACCTGATGAGGCTTAATCGCTGGGCAATGCAAATCTGTAAGCCTTCTGACCTTTGGAACTGTAAATGTTACTTCCAGGATATAATTGAGTCACTCACAAGATCATTCTCTTGTTCTTGAGAAAGAAGTTTTCATTCTTTTTTACCTTCCTCTACTGCAAGGGAAGAGAGTTTTGCCATCCCAAAACATGCTTCTTTAGGGATATTGATTATTTTAAGCTAGATTAATTTAAAGAAACAGCGGATGTGGGAGAAGCTCTGAAAACTTTGTAAAGGGACAGACACTTTTGTAAGGGAAATCTCCATTTGTAAAGGTATTTCCCTCACAGGTACCAGAGAGAGATCTAAATCTCTAGAAAACTTATCAATAGAGAAGGCACTGGGCTCAGATCTGCATAAAAATCTTACCCTTGTTTACTATGCTTTTCCCCATAACCTTCCTTGTTGTGGCCTGTATAGAATAGACCAAACCAAGTATGCTCTCAAAGGCTGTTTATTAGCCGGCGGCTGTCCTGTACAAAGGAGCAGCCCCAAAATGTCAAGATACAAGGTTTTTGAGCCCTAAATCCCATTCTTCGTTCTATCTTAAATACAAAGGTCTATTTCTCTCCTATTCACTACCTGTCAACCCACTGGTCAGGTGTACAAGCGGGGAGTACAGAAGCAGAAAGCTTGTTGTTAGAACGTTATGCTCCTATGGGTGAATGCATATGTTCCCATGGGCAATAGCCAGTATTCTCATGGGCGATGGCCAAACAGTAATTTTCAGCTTATATACAATTGATTATTTTTCATGCCACACAAGCAAGCAGGGTTACACAGGCTAAAATTGGCAGTTAGCGTATGAGCTCACTGTTATGAGTTTTATGATTAACAGAATGTAGTTAGGGGTTCCAGAAACTAGACCTAAGATATAGACTTCCTTTGTCCAGTTTCAGGTTTTAATTATCCTTTAACCCTTCCACATTTCAGCCGGCTATCACATCCTTACCTGACTCCCTACCGCCAACATTTTTTGTCTTTAGCTCAGGGTAGTATTAAGGTGATGTCTTCTGTAGTTTTGGTCAGTTACTTGACATTCCTGGGTCTCTCCCATGTGTACAGGAGGTATACATATTATTAAACTTTAATTTTTCTCCTGCTGATCTGTCTGTTGTCAATTATTAGACCAGCCAGAACCTTGAAGGGTAGAGGAAAATTTTTCTTCCCAATATTACAAATTGTGAAATTTTGTCCAGATTTCGTAGTTTTGTAATAGAGAAAACCAGAGGCCCCACATGGCATCACTTGTGCTAAAGTCCTAGATAATGTGGACAAAAAAAGGAGCCACATACTAAACCTGAGAAGCTCAGGGGGAGGCCAGCATTGTGGGCCCTACTAACTCAGAGACAGAAATTAACCACATAGGATGGTCTGAAGATAAAAATTCCTAATTAAAGCAAGTTAGTCACATCCTGGCTCCTGTAGCTCGCTTGACAAAGGTCAATCTTTATTTTAAGTGAGCCGATCTATTGTCTTTTTGCATCTAAAATAACACATCCTTGGAACGTCAGAGTAATCTCTTTTTTTCCAGATCCCTCAGGGCACAAGCCATTGCACCAGAGCATCCCTTATGGTTATCTTGTGTCCCTCATGGTTACCTTGTGTCTCTCTCTTCCTGCACACCATCTCTATGTAAAATGTTAATTAGTAACTCTACCATACTCACCAATGTAAAAGAAGTATGTGTCCTTCTATTTCACTTTTTATCCAATACCAGAGATTTCTCCACTTTGCTTTCTCCCACCCCCTTAATCTACCACCAATGGATGTTGTATAACCCTCCTTAAGTCTCCTCCTTTGATTCTAATGTATAAAATAAGCTGCAAAACTGCCATTCTCTGGAGAATTTTCTTAATCCATTGAGATTTTGCTTCCTGGCAATTGTCATTTTGGCCCAAATAAACTCATTAAAATTCTCTACAGGTTTGGACATTTCTTACATCAACAATACCAAACCTAGATTTAATAGGTTTGACATAAGAAATTCAAAACCTGTAGACAATTTTTGTAAGAGTTTATTTGAGCCAAACTGACGTGCCAGGGAGCAAGATTTCAAATGCTCCAGAGAATAAGTTTTGCAGCAGCTTTTATGCATTTAAAATTGAGGAGGGAACATAAGATTACATGTGTAACCACACCCAGATTTCAGTTATAGCTTTTTCTTTGGAGCAAGTTTTACCTAGATAATGGCATTGTATCTCACTTGCTTTTCCCAACCCTACCCTTATCCTTCCACCTTTGCATGCCTACTCCCTTTAACCATTAAGCCTTAGGACCTGCTGTTTTACCAGGGATAAATCCTTTAAGAAGGAAGCATCAGGTCTATAGACCAGGAGGACAATAACGTTTGGTTAAACTAAGGATAACATCTTGGCTTCTGATATGTTTCAGCCACAGGCCCATTGAGGCAGAACAGCTCCACCTGCCACCGGGACCAGGCCACGGGACCAGGCAGGATAGCGCCATTGCTGATTCCATAACTGGACACTGTGACCAATTACCCCAGCACTGTCCAATAAGTAGTACCCATGACCCCCAACTCCTTTAATTTCCATAACTGATGATTTTTCCCTATATAATCTATCCCCTCAAGACACCTGGGGGGGCAGGTTTTTGAGAGCAACAGCTCACCAGTGTCTCTGGAACTTGCAACTCTCTAAAATAAATCCTTACTTTTTTGCTGCAAAACCTGTAAATACTGTGATAGCCTGCTGAAATGTGAAAAGGTTAAAGGATAATTAAAACCTAAAACTGGACAAAGGAAGTCTATACCTTAGGCCTAGTTTCTGGAACCCCTAACTACATTCTGTTAATCATAAAACTTGTAACAATGAGCTCATACGCTAACTGTCAATTTTAGCCTGTGTAACCCTGCTTGCTTGTGTGGCATGAAAAATAATCAATTGTATATAAGCTGAAAATTACTGTTTGGCCATCGCCCATGAGAATACTGGCTATTGCCCATGGGAACATATGCATTCACCCATAGGAGCATAACGTTCTAACAACAAGCTTTCTGCTTCTGTACTCCCCGCTTGTACACCTGACCAGTGGGTTGACAGGTAGTGAATAGGAGAGAAATAGACCTTTGTATTTAAGATAGAACGAAGAATGGGATTTAGGGCTCAAAAACCTTGTATCTTGACATTTTGGGGCTGCTCCTTTGTACAGGACAGCCGCCGGCTAATAAACAGCCTTTGAGAGCATACTTGGTTTGGTCTATTCTATACAGGCCAGAACAATACCTCATTGACTTAGATGCGTTCAGGCAAATGGACCTCTTTGCTCCAGTAATACATGGAGGTGGGAGAAAGCAAGGCAAGGATTGGATTACAGGATAGTGAACAAGATTATGTGCTCTTTAGAAGTCGGTTATGAAACCAGAGGGCAGCCGAGTCCAGGGCTCGTGCTGCCTGTGCAGCTCAGCCAATAGATCAACATAGGAGTTGGGATATTTAGAATAAGCACTTATTGTCAGAGCATCAGTGGTCTGAGAAGGCAGCAGGTTAACACCATCAAAACTGCCTTGCCTTCTCAGTCTAGCTTAGGGTATTTAAGGGAAAATCAGGGCATTATTCCAGGAGCTACATGAAGGTTCTGGGAGGTGTCTGTTATGCTTCACGAAGCTATTCCTCTGGCAATGAGGTCCTCCAATGACGTTAGCAAGTCAGGAACAAAAATGGGAGTAGTCTGGAAAGAATGCTAAACCAGAAGGGTTGTGATAGTAAGCATAAGGGCATTAATCATAGATTTCAGGGCAACTGTCCATGGCAGGAGATGTTCCAAGCTCTGGGTCAAGACACTAGGGACGCTTTATTGTTAAGCTATAGGGTAAGGAAAAGTGAATCCAGGACTCTGTAAGGCCTCTATTACGGGGGTCCCAACTGGGCCCTTTTTCTGTTATGGCTTATTTCAAAGGTGTGTTAACCTAGATGCACAGAAACAATGGTCAGGGCTTGCTTAAGGCAAAGATAACTAAAAAGTTATATGCCTGGGGTGAGATTACCCACATGATCTGCCCTGTGAGGAATTTATGATCAGATTGCCCTATGAGGTTACTTTCTAAAAAACCTCTTTTTTTCAGAAGTAAGCCTATATTTATATGGGCAAATAATTTTCGACAAAAGAGCCAAAAACATACAGTGGAGAAAGGAAATCCTCTTCAATAAATGATGTTGGGAAAACTGAAAAGCCACCTGCAAAAGAATAAAACTAGATTGTTGTCTATCACCACACACCAAAATTAACTCAAAATGGATTAAGGACCTGAAACAATAAAATGCATCAAAGAAAACATAAGAACTAAACTGAAGGACATTGCACTTAAAGAGGATTTTATTAATTTGACCTCAAAAAGCAAGGGAAGTAAAAACTAAAATAAATGAATGGGACTACATCAAACTAAAAAGCTTCTGCTTAGCAAAAGA